AAAGAGTAGTTTTTAAATAAGTACTTATAATTTAGAAGGGGACTGTATAACAGGGTTTAGATTTCCATAAATATTAAATTTTTCTGGAAAACAGATATTAGGTCTAATTTTTTTCCCTATAAATAATGATGGGTTGTTCTCAAAATGTAAAAAGCACAATCTTGTAAATGACTGCCTCCTGTTCACAAGACGCTGGCATGTATCCAACAGGTGATTATGTGCCTAAGACGTAGCTGTTCTCTTAACTTATGTCCTATCATAATTCTTGAAATATAGACTGAGGACAAAGATGACAGCTTTACTAGTCATATTCAATGTAAGCTTTATTTTTATTTTTAACAAGTTACTGAAGTATGATTAATCTTGGTTTGCTTAGATCTCACCTTTTACAAAGAATTACATTTAAAGTCTTCTGTGCAATCATTTATGCAAATGCAAAAATTGATTAACTCTGAAAAGAAAAACACCGTAAAGAAAGAGGACCTGTTCTGAGTTGGGGAGTTTAGCATGGAGAAATATAGTTTCAACGAGTTTAGGAAAATGTTGGTGCCTGGAAGCCCTGTCTGTGGATGCCAGAGAGCAGTTTTCCAACTCTATGATTTATATTTACCAGCTTTGGGTGGTGTGGTAAGAATATTGGTGGATTGGATTTGAGGGATACATATTTCTCTCACCTTCTTAACATATTACAAGGTTAAAGACTAGAATTGTGTTTGTTCACTCATCCGAATGTTATTTATATTTCACCTATCATCAAAAAATATTTAAAGCCATAGGTCAGAAAATATGATCAGAGTAACAAATTTTTCTCCTTTCAAAATGACCATCTCTATCTACTTAGTATAAACTCTAGGTAGTTTGATCGTTTACCAGCTCTGCAGGTTGAAGTTTGAGTTAAGTGGTTGGCATGGAATAAAAAGAGAAACCTGAAGAGAAGGAGAAAGCTTGTTGCAGAAGACCAGTCATGCTTCTGTCATGCATTTGTTCCATTGCCTCTTCCTTAGGACTCCCTGGAAACATGTGCACATTACAGAGTGGTTTATGCCTTCTGTAGTAATGGTAAAGAACTATTTCTAGACATCAACATTTTTGTCATTGATTTTCTTTTGTTGGCTTAGAAACCAGTTGTTATATTGTCTCATTATTTACAAATTAGGGATATTAAGTACAGATTATTCCTTATTTTGGTGCTCTGGCATTCACTGTGATAATGCAGTACAGTACTCTAAGGAGGTTTTTAAACTCTGGGAAAAAGGATGTACAAAGAGAGATAGTTGTGAACAATGCCCTCCCTACTGGAGGCTTTTAGTGTTAAACGTACTGCTTTATTTAGTACATCTTTTGCATACCAAAATGATCTTCTAATTTTAGTTGTTTGAAAAATGTAAGCCTTTTCCAGGCATAATCTGCAAAGCTCATTTTTAGCTCCAATTAAGTAAAAATATGTGTTTATAGTCTTATGAGGTACAGCATTGAGTATTTTCTTGGAAATTGTAACAGTTGATTGGTACAATGAAGCATCTATGCTAAAGCATTAAAGGGTGTATACTGTGTTTTCTGCTGAAGTGTTGCCACCTGATCCTGTATCTTGGATTTAGGTAATGTTGGGGAAAGGAAGACAGAATTGAATAGGGAGACTTAAGGGAGAAGGATGATATATTGCTTAGCTCCCTTTGCGTAATACAATTTAAAATAAATGAGGATTATGAGGATTTCAGTTTTAACAGGTTTTGATACTGTTAAAGGGGTTGTGGGTGTTTCATCAAAAGCCATAAGATATAGATGGTGTAGGATAAAATCATTCCACAGTAGGACAGAAATCATATAAAAATGAGAGATCTAAGGTAATTTTTCTACTGATGAATTATAGCAAACAGAGGTTTACTATTTTAATAAGCGTCAGTTATTTACTAAGTATTAACAAAGTATAGTTTTATACTGCCTTGGCTAAAGTGCATTTTCTCTCAAAATGATTGGTGAAGGACATGAATTGTGAAAAAATATTCATTAAAGTTTTTTTCTGTTTTAAAGGTCTTCTGTTAGAGTGGGGCTTTATTGTCTCCAAAAAGTCAGCATTTAAAGTCAGTGTCAGAGTAATGTTTTCATGGGATTATTTGTTGGGAAAATGCTAGTGAGGAGAATGGAGTGGATGACCTTTGGTGCATATACCTCACAATATTTTTGTGAAATACTGTGAAACCTGAGCTCCCTATAAAGTGCCACTGATTCCAGAATCATTAGCTGGTATGGAACTTTTTGTTGCCACTTGTTTTTATATAAGCAATAGTTTATTGCTTACATGTTGACTTGTATGTACTTTTCTGCTTTTATTGTGATTTTGAATGTGCACTTGACAGCCTTGTAATTGGCCATAAAACTGTGAAGAGTTAGTTAGCCTTACTTTAGGGTTAAGATTACCTGGGGGTTTCCTTAGAATAACTCTAAAACATGTAATTGTTTAGCGAATTAGAATATATTTAACATATTTAGCATATTGGAGAACTAGTTGGTACAAAAACCACTTATTTTTATAGATGAATTAATATTGATAGCAATAAATAAATTCTGCCAATATAGTTCTTTTTTGGGGGAGACAAATGGTGTTTTATTTATTTTTTAATTGAAGTATAGTTGAATTACAATGTTGTGTTAATTACTGCTGTACAGCAAAGTGATTCAGTTATACATATACATATATTCTTTTTTTAATATTCTTTTCCATTATGGTTTATCATAAGATATTGAACATAGTTCAATATAGTTCTTATCACTGTAACTTTGTAATGGATCAGTTTTCTCTTTCATTAAAAGTAAATTAAAAATAAATAGTGTCAGTATTTTAATGAGATGAATTGGAGTTAGGATGGCTGGAAGGGAACTGATTTATTAACTGATTTAATAATGATATTATAATGTAGTAATTTAGAGCAAAAACTAGAGCCAGATTACTTAGTTATGAAAACATACTTACTCACTGTATGAACTGGAATAAGTTACTTAATCTTTCCATACTAGATATTTCTCATTTGTAAAATGGGGATAATATAATTACATACCTTCTAGAGTTGTTAGGAAGATTAAATAAGTTAATTTATATAAAGTACTTACAGCAGCCTGATAAATAACAAGTGCGGAAGTGTTTGCTCCTATTATTGAATATTCACAAAATAATGTTTGCATCAGAACTGGGGGGTCAATATTCT